GATGGTACCTCGTACCATCGATGAGCCCGACGCGGCAACTACCACCCTACGGGCCAATTTTTTCCATTGTGTCGTAGAGTGTGGCATCGACACAGATGTACAACAATTTCCGTCCGGAGCGCAAACATGTGTGCGAGTGGATGGGTGATGTGACAAGACCTGCCGGGTGTCCGATTTGTGCCGACTCGCCCGAGGGTGTCCTGGATCCGCGTCCGGTGGAGGAGATGGAAGCGGACCCGATGGGAGCTGAGAGGGCAGAGGTCAGGCAGCGGCAATCCCGGGCGAAATGGCCCCGTCGGCCACACTTGAAGCACGTGGCCGTCGTTGCCCGGCGGTCGCTCATCCCGGGCCCTGCACGTGGTCGACCCATATCATCACGCTGGTCGTGCAGCCGGCATCTCGGGACCCAGTGAGGAACAGCAGCCATCACCTCATCGTCACCGGAGTCATCGGAGCAGTGGACGACCCGCCGTGGAGACCACCCCAACGGTGGACCGTCTATTTGGAGATTCCCCGTCCATGCCGCCATCTGATCCCAGCTCTTCAGATTGAACTTAGCGTCCAAGCAGCGCGCCGCCCATCACGACGTGAGCGGTTCGTGGCCGCATACCGGCAACGAGATGTTCAGTTCCTGGGATAGCTCAAGCATTCGGGAAAGGATGAGAGGATCCAGGAGATCAGTCTACGAGTCGGGGTAGGCGGCCATAGCCAAAGCTAACAGTGCCCCCCGGTAGGCCAAGGGCGATTCCTCTGATCCTCGACGACGTGACATAAACTTTCTGGTAGCCGCCGTCGGCGGGTCGTAAAACTCGGCCATTTCTGTGAAAGCATCACGAAGCGTCTTCTTCTTGGTCGCCGGGATGGATCGGAAGACCGCCAAGGAGACATCATCCAGCAGCGTGGGCAGCACCTCCAGTGCCTCTGCCTCCGTCCATCGAACGAATCTAAAGGCCGACTCGAAGCGCCACGTGAAGGCACTCCAATCGCCCCTGGTCATGCCTGCTACATGAAACTCTGACCAAAACTATCACGTTACCATACATAGCAGGCGTGACCAAAAATATCTCCAAAATTCTAAACAAACATAAGATCCAAGTCCGATTCAGTACAGTGCATAAAATCCGTGATCTGATTCCATCTGTGAAGGATGTCGTTCCTGACTTACAGTATCTTGGAGTCTACAAATTGAGTTGCAGTTGTGGTGATTGCTACATTGGAGAAACGAAACGTCATGTTTCTGATCGTGTCCACGAGCACAAGTCAGATCTGAAACACGGCAGAACTGATTCTTCGGCTGTTGCCGATCATTGCTACAACTCTGTGGGCTCTCATGAAATTTTCTTTTCCGAGACCAAGGTGCTCTGCAAACTTACTGGCTACCATCAAAGGTTTGTACACGAAGCCATACAAATATACAAACACAGACATAATTCCAACCGTGATGAGGGTTACAAACTGAGTAATCATTGGAAAGATGTGATTAACCATGCAAAAAAGATGTAACTGTACTTATTTGGACCATCTTATTTGACAGACAACTATTACAGGTCATTGATAGACAGCCAGTTTGTTGTTTTACCAGTTTTAGTTTTTACTTGCTTTTCTTTTTTCACACTTTTGTTATGTATGCCATGTGTTAGTTACAAACCGCACCTCTCCATAACAAAGGCCCAGTCCTTTGTTATGCAGTCTACTCTTGGTCTTAAGCCTCACCTTACCATATTAATAAAAAAGTGTGCCGTTCCTGGCCCTTCCCCCCCTCAACCATTATATATACGGGGTAGTATTTCTTGTGATCTCTCATTTACTTGATACAGCTGTCGTGGCTGTGACGGTTCCACCTGAAGACGGAGGCTTGTGTTGCTTCCGAAACGTCGTGAATTTTTTCATTTGTTTTATTTTACTTTTATTAATTTACATTTTTTACCTACGTGACTTTAACATCTCTTAATGTTCGACGGCTTGTGCACCAGATCTTATTTACTCATGATGTGCTTTACAAAAAAATTCGCAGATTACCTGCTGGATCTCCTCTCTGTTTCAAAGAACAAATTTGACCTAATGTATTCGCTCATTTACCAGCTTCACATTCCCTATTGCCGTACAAATACTGGAGTAAGGACCTTTGCTATTGATGCCCCAGGGTCTGGAATGCTATTGCCAATAAACTGCAACTTGAATCACTACCTATGACATCTTCACTCAAAACTGCTCTAGAGGAGCTGTACACCCCTAGCTACCACTGCTATTCAGTGGCCTAAAATAAAATGTTTCGCTCCGGATGATCGCTGCAAAGTATGACCTGTGTTTTGATTTAGTGTGCTGATCTTAAAGGTGCATTGAAAAATGTTGATACTCCGACTGATGCTCCTGCTGTTGTGGAGTGACTCATGCAGCCAGCTATGGCTGCAGGGTTTGGTAGTATATGTTGTTTATGTCGTTTATTGTGAAAATTCGGTCACAGTTCCTATGATCACTGTCTCATTGCTTTCATGGCTTTATTTTGGTGATTTCGAAAAGTTTTTTGGTTTGGCCATGTTTGTTTGTTGTAGTACGGAGTTAGACTGATGGCCTTAATCTAAGTTGTCTTGTGGTTGTTGTTGTTTGACTTGCATCCCACTGGGATTTTTGCACACAGCGTTAGTGTACGGTGCTTTTTCTGCAATATATTTCTGTCTTTTCTTGGATTTTCTGTTTGCACATAGTCACATAGTCACTTTAAGATGTTTTCTTGTTAATGTTTTTGTTTTTTGTTTGTTGCGGTTGCACCCGATTCAAGAGCCGAATGGCTCACATGGCTATACCTAATAAATTAACTTGAACTTGAACCAAAATAGATTCCTATACAGAAACAAATGCTCTATTTCACCTCGACTTCGCTTGAATACAGTTCATGCCACCATCCTGCCCATATTTGATGGCTGGGACACCATCTACCACCTAGCTTCTGAATCTACCTTAAAACTTCCTGGTCCATTATACCACTCCACTCTCCGTTTTATCCTTGACACCCCCTATAAAATCATCATTGCAACCCGTATGTTCAACTTCTTTAGCATTGTACGTAGCCAACCATGCTAATCGGAGGTGCCTGTACGTTAACCTAAATCTGCCTCCATGGAAATCCAGAGATTGTCACTGTTCCGTTTTCATCGCAAAGATCGCCTTAAACATCTGCACTTACCAAAATGACCACTTTGTTCCTCTTAACTCAATCCTGTAGCTTCAGAAGTGACTCCTATTCCCCCCCCCCCCCAAAAAAAACCATTCGCTATAAGTTGTTTGGTAAAAAAAAGTATTTCAGCGTTGCTGATCCACGTTTCTGGAACAGCGTTGGCCCCTCATCTACAGCTTCGTTCCCTGCCTTCACTCCCCCGCTTGATTCCCATATCAGGCCAAAATCACAGCGCTTATTTGCACCTGCGCCTAACTTTCATCTGGCTCCACTTGCTCCCATGTTTTCATTGCCCTTTTTAGATTTGCGTGTTTATGTCACTGTTAGATTAGCATACAGAGCTTACTTGTACGTGTACCTAATACATTTTTCTGCTGAGATTATATTTTCACTGTATTTTTTGTATCCGCGTGTTTATCTAATGACCATTAATCAACCCAGTGTTTGTGCGATACATGTATTTATTTCTTAAGCGCCTCTGGACTCGTTCTCTGCAATTGTTGTTTTAAATGTTATTGCTGTGCTCACGCACCACGGATTTCCCTTGTAAAATAACCGGGAAAATTGGCTAAACGGGAACCATGCGCGTACACAAATCACGTAAACATCAACTCGAAATCGTGATATCGCAGCCAATTTAATCGATTTCTATCTAATCACCTCGATTCCTGGATCGCGTGGGCGGTGTGGGCAGACACCCCGGTCCCATGATCAGTCACGTGCTCCGCGTGTCACCACTGGATCGATTTACCGCGTTAGATTCCTACCGTCGATTCCAAACCCGCATCGCGAGTGCGAGGAATCGGTATGTGTGACGAATCGATAAATCGATACCGCCCAAATAAGGAGTGGCTCTAAACAGCTGCTGGCTGGTGCCAGGCGAGATCGCGGGGAGAGTGCGGGGAGAACTGGGGGAGAACTGGGAACGTGGGGAGATCAGTGGGGGGGAGAAAGGAGTGAGATCAGAGAGGGCGAGACGGGTATTGGGTGAGATGATGGGTGAGTGAGCTCATGATTGAGTGAGCGAGGCAGGGGTTAGGGTGAAGTGAAACCGGGCTGGCGTGGGAGCGCGGGGTTCTATTGAGCGCCTAGATAGGAGTGGTTGTTGTGGCTCTGTGTGTGTGATTCAGCGTGTGTGGTTATTGTGCGAGTCTGTAATTGTGTGTGAGAGAGGAAGTGTCGCTGTGCGTGTTGTTGTTTTGTGAATCTCTGCGGCTGTGTATCGTTGTGAGTCTGTGCACCGAGCATGGCACAGACCCTGTGGTGACGTCACCGCACCTGAGTGGTCTGAGAAGGTCTCCGTGTGTGTGAGTCTCTGTGTGTGTGTGAGTCTCTGTGTGTGTGAGAGTCTCTGTGTGTGTGAGTCTCTGTGTGTGTGTGTGTGAGTGAGTCTTTGTGTGTGAGTGTATCTGTGTGTGTGAGTCTGTGTGTGTGTGAGTCTCTGTGTGTGTGTGTGAGTGAGTCTTTGTGTGTGAGTGTGTGTGAGTGTATCTGTGTGTGTGAGTCTCTGGCTGTGTGTGTGAGTCTCTGTGTGTGTGTGAGTCTGTGTGTGTGTGTGTGAGTGAGTCTTTGTGTGTGAGTGTGTGTGAGTCTCTCTGTGTGTGTGTGAGTCTCTGGCTGTGTGTGTGAGTCTCTGTGTGTGTGTGTGAGTGAGTCTGTGTGTGTGAGTGTGTGTGAGTGTCTCTGTGTGTGAGTCTCTGGCTGTGTGTGTGAGTCTCTGGCTGTGTGTGTGAGTCTCTGTGTGTGTGTGAGTCTCTGTGTGTGTGTGAGTGAGTCTCTGTGTGTGAGTGTGTGTGAGTGTCTCTGTGTGTGTGAGTGTCTGGCTGTGTGTGTGAGTCTCTGTGTGTGTGAGTCTCTGTGTGTGTGTGAGTCTCTGTGTGTGTGTGTGAGTGAGTCTTTGTGTGTGAGTGTGTGTGAGTCTCTCTGTGTGTGTGAGTCTCTGTGTGTGTGTGAGTCTCTGTGTGTGTGTGTGAGTGAGTCTTTGTGTGTGAGTGTCTCTGTGTGTGTGAGTGTCTCTGTGTGTGTGAGTCTCTGTGTGTGTGTGAGTCTCTGTGTGTGTGTGTGAGTGAGTCTTTGTGTGTGAGTGTGTGTGAGTGTCTCTGTGTGTGTGAGTGTCTCTGTGTGTGTGAGTCTGTGTGTGTGTGAGTCTCTGTGTGTGTGAGTGAGTGAGTCTTTGTGTGTGAGTGTGTGTGAGTGTCTCTGTGTGTGTGAGTGTCTCTGTGTGTGTGAGTGAGTCTGTGGTTGCGTCTCGTGATCAGTAGCGGCGCTGGACACAGCGAATCGCACGGCTGGCCACGTACAGTGCGAAAGAAGTTCAACATAGAGAGCCAGGCCGGGGAGCGGGGTCCCAGGACCAGGACCGGCGCGAGCTTGCCCGGGGGTGTTCGGGGTCTCGAGGGTACGGGTTGGGTCTCGAGGGTACGGGTTGGGGTTCGCGGTCTCTAGGGTTGGGGTTGGTGGTTGGGGTTGGAGCCGGTGCTGGGCTGTGGCTTCGGGGCTGCGCCCGCTCCTGGAGCGGAGCGAATGGAGGCCGTGAAGCTGAAAGATCGGATCCTGGAGAACATCTCCTGGTCCATCAAGAAGGTGCGGACCTCCCCCTGGTGACCCCGTGCCACATCTGGCCCGGTGCCGTTGGTGTGACGCAGTGGAGTGTGTTTATTGTGTTCCCTCGTGTTGTGTCCTCGCGTTGTGCGCTGTTGTCGTGTTGCGTTCTCCGCGTCCTGGCGTCTCGCGTTGCGTTCTCGTGTCGCGAGACGTCAACTCGCAGCGCAGACTCCTGAGGTCGGTGTGGAGGGGCAGGTCGTGAGGTTGATGTGGAGGGGCAGGTCGTGAGGTTGATGTGGAGGGGCAGGTCGTGGGGTCGGTGTGGAGGGGCAGGTCGTGAGGGAGCGAGCTCTATTTGCTGTCCGGTCTGCCCACGTTCCTATTTGTTAAACGTCAACTCGAGTTGAATGCCAACGCTGGCTGTGCCAGCCCGGATTTCTCCCGCCGGTCTCGCCGAGTTCACCAAACACGTTTAGTAGTTTTTTAGGGTTTTGATCGTGTAGGAAATGTCAATTACCCGAGAGTGCTGAGCCCTTGTTAACACCAGCAAAATGTTATTTTATAAAGCCATGTAGCTACGCCTAATGTCAAGGAGAGCACATGACGCGTTGTTTTTGAGACGCTGTAGTTTTACTTGTGGGATCCTTGTGCACAGTATCAAGATATTGAATGATAAAAATGGGGCTTAACCCTTACTGGCATAAATACAGAAGGTGTGAAGATGTTCAAACACCAAATAGACACCTTTTATAAGACATCAAGCCTGAATTAACTACACGGACATGTAAAACATGCAAACAAAATATGCTTTGGTACTGCACGCACTGTTCTGGAAACTGATTGGCCTGAACCAGAGGTGGCCTCTTTCATGCCGTTGGCCTTGTACTGTTCGCCTTTTGGCAGCCTTTGGTCCAGCACTGGTCAATGATATGAACGAGCGCAGTCTCCCTGGAGTAGGCTAGGTAGTTTAACACGTAGGCTTTCGCGACCAATATAATCCATAATAGAGGTTTTTGGGTTAGATCGCGTAAATGTATAAATGTGTCGTTAAAACCCGCCACCACCCGACACAGCCAACTGGTAAAGGTTGTCACGTAAACAGAACATGCCAATTCGTCACTAGTCTAGCACGCCGGTGTGTTGGAGAGCCAAGCCACAAAATTTACAAACTGAGTACGACGTTTCACCAGTAATTACAACTAGCTTCATCAGGCGACAGCCAGATGTGGCTGTCGCTTGATGTGGCTTGGCTCTCCAACACACCGGTGTGCTGTACTTGTGACGAATTGGCATGTTATGTTTACGTGACAACCCTTACTAGTTGGCTGTGTTGGGTGGTGGCGGGTTTTAACGACATCTAACCCAAAAACCTCTTATGTAGGCTAGATGGTCGGCATACTGTAGGGGACATCATTGGGGGATGAGGTGATGTGATCTTTGAGTGACAAGAGCGAGGCGCTGCAGGAGTTTGGAAATGGTTGATACGTTTGTAATAGGGCCATATGAAAAAAATTAACCCGTAAAAACAAAGTTTTTCACTATAAATCCTTTATATGTGTGGCGGCTAGAGTCCTCTCGTCCTCTGGCTTGAGATGGCTGCCACCTATGGGTCAGATGATTGCCTGCCACCATTAAGCAATTGGTAATTGGTAATAATTTTTTTTTCCTAAAAAGTCTAAAGTTACGGAATTTTTTTTGACGAAAATAAATTGTCACGCACAACGAGTCTGTGTGCAAAATGTCAGCTCGATTGGATCACGGGAAGTGGGTTAAAAAACGACCGAAAGATTTGCACGGTCGTAAGCGCACAAGCAAGAAAGTGAACTTAATATAAAGGATTTAAAAATGAGAAGAGGTTTTACCCTTTCTGCCAACAATGGGGCCGTAGTTTGCAGGGTCCCTGGGGTCAGAGACAGGTTTTTGTTTCATAGAGGAGTCACTGGGCCCATTTTCATTGATGGAGGGAAAAGATTGGACTGGAGATGGCATCGTGCTTGGAGAAGCCGCAGATGATAGCCGAGGGAGACGAACAACTACTGCTGATGGTGGAACAGCAGAAGAACGTAGATTAACACCCGTGGTGGCAGAGAACTGCTGATGGCGGTACTGTGCCTGCAGTTGCACCAGAAAGCGTTGAGCTTTTGTACCAGCAACCCTGCAGTGCTGAAGCCGCCGTCCTTGGAGAGACACTGGCCGAGACGGCTCATGGCTGAAGGGACGCCATGCTACTCTTGACACTGGCAGTGAAGCTGGAGTGTTGCTGTGAAGAACAACCTTGGAAGAACCTGTGAACGGTGCTACTCCCCTCGCTTTAGCCTGTCTATCATTATACTTTAGACCTGTTCATCACATCTGATCTCACACTGCAAGGAGAGGCCGCTTTTCCCATTGCTGTTTTTGACCCGAGTCTATTCTATGTAACACTCCCCTGGACTCCAGGCGTGCCATTATTCACGCCGCAAAATGCATCGCGGGGCATTGCGGTGACGCCGCATGGCACCAGCTACGTGGTTTCTCTTCCTTCTTCCCTCAGCGTGCGGCTTGTTCTGCCACTCGTTTTGTGCCGAGCGAAGACTTTTGGAATCTTAACCTCTCCACTGTAGGTTCAGCCTCAGCTGCCAAGGGGCGTTCTCTTCTACGAGGACAGCCTGGGAGTGATGCTGTCATTGTCACAGTCCCTATTCTCAAAGCAACGCTCAAAGAGCCAAAGTGATTGCACCTTTAGGTGGTGCTCATCTCCTGTTTACACCAGTGAGTCAGTGAAGGGCAAATTCCACATTCATATGGTGGGGGAGAGTCCTCTGCATTGAACGTTTTCTCAAGTGTTTTTTTTCTATTTTGTGGTCTAAAACGACAAAATGACTACACATGCAGTTCTTGTGAGTTGGTGGTCGGGATAAGGCTGAGAACATTGGTACAGTAATATTCTGATTTACGTCTCTCCCATTTATGTCGTTTCAAAAATACGTGATCACTTTATTCATACCACTACCTGATTTGCGTCGCCTTTACGCACACTTATGTCGCTGACAGCATCGTCCACCCTCTCTCTTATCTGTCGCCTCAGCCTTCGCCTCCACCTACCTTGTAAACTGCTTCCATTGACTTTGTTTCGATATTATTCGTCGCACCTTTCAGTAACGCATTCCTCATGTAAACCGGGGTTATTACTGTACATGCAACGCTACACACCTCTGTGTGCGTGTGGTTAAATTTGTTTTGCGGCATGCACTGTTCGTGTTGCAGTGGGTGTTTGGCTGTGTACAGGTCTGTCGCACGCACACCACTCCCCATTGAGAGCTGAGGGAGGTCGTCGGATGTTTTTTTTATAAACTTTGATGAGGAGGAACAGAACATTGCGGTCATCTTTTTATAGAAAACGCCGGGAGGTTTGGAAAACCGGATCCACCTATTTAAAGCCGAGACTTGTGTCGATTTAACGAATCATGTCACCACGAGCAGTGAGGCGTGGACACAGGCGCGACAAGCTGGTACAAGCGGATAATGAGAAACATGACGTGACGTCATTTCAAACGAGTCGGTGTCCCAGTTCAAATTCGACAAATGCAGAAAATGACACCACAAATCGCTCAATTGGGATTCTACGCAGCAGCTACATCACCCCCTGCTGCGAAAACTACAACAGGTGACCTGAATGCAGCACCATCCCTCGCACCTCTGAATTCGTTCACTTTCTACGAGAGTGAGTGCCGACTGTGTGGCGGTGCGTTACAAGTTGAAACGGAAAACTACGAACAAATCACTTCAGCACAGCTCGTCTGTGCAGATGTAAAACAAAGAGTAACATAAAAAAAATCTTAGCTCATCATTTCCCTGTAGCTCCACGCATGCAGCTCCCCATTTAGTTCTGCCCATTTCTGCGGATGGTGCTTTGCAGTCAGAAGCGCTTTCAGTCCACTGCGGGGTGTTGCAGATTACAGGTGGGAGGACAAACTGCCAATGATCCACAAAATACAGGGAATTGCGTATTATTGGATTGCAGATAATTAAATTTTGCCATACTCAAATAATTGGATAGCCCAGTGCTTGCTTATGTTGTTGAATATTTTCCAAATACAGTTGTAGTGGGTTCTCAGCGAGACAGAGACGACGTAGTCGAGGCACACTTGTTTATTAACCCAAAGGCCAGTAACATAACACTTGAAGGGGTAACGGCCCCTTCACCCGTACACAACAGGAATACACCCCTAGCACTATCCCCGACTGATCTACTCCCAGTCCTCCTCTAAGAGTGCTAGGGGAGGCTATCTGATCTGGCCCTGGTCAAGCGCGGATCCCGGCACCCAGCCAACCAGACCGGCTCTTACAAGAACATCGGTCCTGAGGCTCTAAGGGCCGCACCACTGGCTTGCCCTGCCTGGCCCTGAGAAGGACAGCTTGCCAGGGGAGTTCCAGGGCCTATCTGCCGGTCTTCAGTCTTTGCTGGTTAAAGCTTCACACTGGAACCCGAGCCCTCTGGCTCCCCGCCTTTTATACCAATCGCCACTGAGGGGTGGGGCTATGGGGGATCACAGCGCCACCCATAGCCCCCCAGGGTTAACCGTTGCGGACGTGGATGTAGACACCCCTGTGTGTCCGCTTCCCTTCCCGTAACCACCTCTACACAGTTATAATGTGGGGTGCCACGGTGGTATGCAGGAGGTCATGGGTTTGATCTCGACCCTGACGCCTGCTGTATATTTGGAGTTTGCGTGTCTCTCTCTTGGCGTGTTGATATTTTTCCGGGTCCTCTGGTTTTTCGCTCCCTGTTTAGAAACATGCGTTTATAATTCTAGATTTGAAGCTTTCGTGACTGCAAGGATTCATACTCTTATGTTTTTTTCGGTAAAGTCACATAGGTAAAAAATAAAATTAAAAGTTAATAAAAGTAATAATGGAAATATAATAAATCACGACGTTTCGGAGGCAACATAAGTCTCCGTCATCAGGTGGGACCGTCACAGCTAAAATTACTGCATCAATTGAGGAAAATTCCAAAAGACCAGCCCTTAAATACAAGTTAAGGAGGGAGGGGCTTA